CAACAAAGGACCGAAGACTGATGCGCTTAAACAAGAGAGATTTGCTTTTCATGGGTCTGGAGGCTGGAAGTCCAAGATCAATGGGCCAGCATATCTGGGTCCTGGTGAGAGATTTCTTCTTGGTTTGTAGATGGATGCCATTAGCCATGTCCTCACATGGTCTTTCCTTGGTGGTGGAGGGGATTGAGAGGGAGAGAGAGAGAGAGACTGTGGTCTTCCTATGAAACCACTAATCCCATCATGGGGCTCTTACTCTCATTAACTAATCTCAGGCTAATCACCTCCCGGAGCCCCCACCCCTACACTAGGGCTTAGGGCTTCAACAGCTGAATTTTGGGGGACATGGACATTTAGCCCATTTTGCAAGGGTAGCCTGCAAGGTTCTGCTAATGGCTGCCTCTGCTCGTCAGGTCCAGCTTTGGGAAACCCTGGACCTTCTGGAACCCTCTTCTGGGGGGGTCAGCACCCCCTGGGGAAGGCGAGGCTCCCGTGAACTGAATGGAGAGGGAGGTAGAAGGACTTTCTAAGAAACCCAGCTCAAAAGCTCTATTGTTCTACACAAATGTCCTGGCCTTTAGTTGGCTACCCCTTCCCCATCCCCCTCTAAATCATACTTATGCTTACACATTTTCTAAATGAAGCTTTTTAATTATGTTAACTCAATAATTGATGTTATATCTAATTAGGATCAAATGTCATGGATTTAAAATTTTCATATCATTTTGATTGTCAACAATGAACTTTTTAATTTGTCAAGGTATTTGCCTTGGCACCATCTGGAAAGCTTACCTATCCATTTAAGCAAATCCCTACTTCTCTTTTACATCCATTTCCCTACCCCTTTACCTGATGGTACAAAGCATGGCATAGAATTAGTTAGTCCCTCCTGAGGGCCATTTGTTGTAAATGATTTCATTTTCCACTTCTCTTCTGCACTATATTTGGAAACAAAAAAATTGGACTGGGCTTATGGCTGGTGTTGCTTCTGGTACCCAGGAGTTTTGCAGGGGAGGAAGGTGGAGGGGAGATGGGCACCTGGGGATCAGACAGGGAGAATGAGATGGTAGTGATAGGATTTGCATGGCTCCTTTGGTGGCTTGAGTTCCATGCCAGCCTGCACACCACCTGCTTGATTACCTCTCCATTTAGGGAGCTCACCCCCTCTGAGGCTGGCTAATGTGAGCTGTGGAGGAAGGCCAGGAGCAGGGGCAGTTTTTATTTTTTTAGTAGGTAGAAAAATAAAAGTCTCTTTGTTTTTGTGTTTTGCTTCTTCCTCCTTCTTTCTGGGACTCTTGTAAAAGTTTCAAGTTGTTTGTGACCGTGAGGCTACGGTAACCTCATACCATGTCCCAGTAGCTTGAATTTGAGGGGCCAAACCTCACCATTTCAAAAGCCACGGTGGCTGTGTGCTCCATTTAGGGAGTTCTGTGCAATGGACACAATGGCCTTTGAGGCATTAATGCCTCATTTACTTTGAGCAGATATAAGGATTTGCACTTTTCAAAACAAATTTAATTAACACCCTTTTCTTTGAGTGGGGGGGATGTCCTTTTTTTTCCCTTCAAAAGCCTTTCACCCCCTGTCTATTTATAAGGGGTTCTTACATAGAGGCAGGTGGTGGGTGGTGGTGTTCCCTTCAGTCCTGTCCTTCGTGGTGAACCAGGTAGTAACAACGAGCCTTTTTCTGTCTCTATGTTCAAGCTTATAGAAGGAAAGTGCCAAATTACCCTGCAGAATGTTGCAAGACCTGATTTGACCCCACACTGTACTGTGAGAAGAAACAGATGGGAAAATAAAAGATGTCCTTTTTAAAAGAAATCCTCTCTTCCATCAAGAGTCTTCTACTGAAAACTGTCCCCTCATTCCCAAGGATGTGGCTTGGTGTGTGCGGGGAAGCCACGCCCAGCTTGCCGGTGTAAACGGTCTGGTCCCCCAACAGATAGGCTGCCTGATTGCTGCATGGTAATTGGTTTTGAAAACACATTTGCACAGTGGGCGGTGAGCCAAACACTCCCTTCCCTGTCTTGCCTTCCATTTCACAGGGCTGATCCCTTATTTTAAAGTATTTTTCCACTCTGTGTTCCCCAAACTTCTAAAAAGACAAAATATCTCAAATCTTTAGGATGGGGTCCTGCCTGCACTCAACTTGCTCCTGCCGAAAAGAAGACTCAGCTCAGGTTGGCTGATGTTTACAGCAGGAACCGATCCACAATTTACTGGGGTTGCTCGGAGCCAGCTCAAATGCGGAGCGGACTGGAAACATCGTCAGACTTTTAGTCTTGGGGTGCTGGATTTAAAGTCCGGTAAAAACAGAGAACCATATCTTTTGAAGGCATAGGAGACAGAGGGAGGCATGAGTGTGTGTGTGCGTCTCCTCTGACGGGGTGCATTGCCATGAATCTGGTCCCTTCGGAGTTTTGTTTCAATCTGGAAGCTTTCATTTTCTCCCCTGAGCATTTCCAACCCTGAAGCCCAGCTTAACATCTTTTCGGGTGACATGGGAGAATCCAGTGTGGGAGTGAGGCTTGCTGGGATCATTGTGCGGGCAGAGGTGTGACACGATGTCAATGTGTGGGCACAGGAGAGTTTCATGGCTGTGGCTTGTGTGTGCGTGTGTGCGTGTGTGTGTGTGTGTGTGTGTGTGTGTAGAAAGAAGGAAGAGCGACAGAATTCAGATTCTCCAGGGTAGAGTTTTTGGCCTTTGTTTTAGATTTTGAGTTACAAAGAGTTGCATACGGCTATAAATATGAACATGATTGGCAAAATCTACAGATTAAATAAAATCTGTGAATGGTGTAGAGTGCTTTGCATACACCAAACATTGACAGTATCTATTCATAGAAGGCACATTCTAGAATTTGCTCTCTCTCCTTTTTCTGAGCTCTCTCATTCTACTTTTCTGTGTACTTTTCTTCTCCTCATTCTACCTTCAGAAATCTGATATTGAGCAGCCTAACTGGAGATGTGTAAGCAGGGTAACTCTCGAGATCCTATCTGTTTAGATCAAAGGGCAAGGCTATTCCCCGATGTTGGCAGAGGGATTATTTAACAAGAAATCCTTGTCGGTGTCAACGGGACACATGGGATGACATCACGCTTGGGAGAAATAAGGATATAAGTCAATATTCCCTCACCAGCTTCAAAGTTGGAAATGCTTTTACATAAGAAGCTTCTAATTCCTTGCCCGTCACTCCGCAGTAGCAACTGACACCTGAAAATTTTCTCCCACTAATTTTTTTATTGTGATCTTGCCATGAGGGTGCTCATTAGAAATCTTGGCAAGTTTGCCTTGCCTTGCCTTCCTTTCCTTCCCTTCCCTTCCCTTTCTTTTCCTTTTTAAATATTTTACTTATTTATTTGAGATAGAGAGAAAATGAGTATGAGTGGGGAGAGCAGAAGAGGAAGAGGGAGAAGCAGAGACCTTGCTGAGCAGGGAGCCCGATGAGGGACTCGATCCCAGGGCCTTGGGATCATGACCTCAGCCAAAGGCAGGTCCTTAAGCAACTGAACCACCCAGCCGGCCAAAGCTGCCTTTTCTAAGCAGTGGAATCATCCACAACTTCCAGCTTTGTCCTTCTGATACCCCCTTTCCAGCAAGGCATGGGAGGAGAACTGCTTTACTATGGAATTTGGCAAGTTCAAAATACTTAAATCCTTCCTGCTGTTTATACTTTTCTGATTTAGGAGAGGCTGGAAGTATTGGAAATCTACATCTCTCTGGACTTTGCAAAAATCCAAACTGTTATAGGCATTCTTGTGACTTTGTCACAGGTGACAACAAACCTGAGAAGACCAAGCCTCAACTGCTTTGAAACGAACTATTTGGAATGAATGTATGTGTTCCCCAGGCTTTTCCCAGGATGGGTTTTAGCTTTTAAAAAACTGTGCAAGTCTTACTTAGTCTTTAAACTCTCTGCGGTGTCTTCCTCCCGGGTGTGAAAGAAAGTTTGTGACTGAGGGAGACACACTTGGGAAGAAGAATTTCCAATGTTTTCGACATTGTTGCTTCTCATACTTTAATGTGCATGTGAATCGATCAGTTGTCAGGACATCTTGTTAAAATGCAGACTTGGATCCCTCAGGTGTAGGGGTGGGTCCAAGGTTTTGCATTAAAAAAAAAAAGATTTATTTATTTGAGAGTGAGAGAGCGTGAGCAGGGGGAGGGGCAGAGAGAGAGAGAGAGAGAGAGAGAGAGAATTTCAAGCATACTCCCCGCTGAGTGTGGAGCCCCATGTGGGGCTTTATCTCACAACTCCTGAGCCAAAATCAAGAGTCGGACACTTAACCGACTGAGCCACCCAGGCGCCCCCAAGATTCTGCATTTTAACAGTGTAAGGTGATGCCCAGGAGCCAGAGTTTGAGGTATGTGTGATGGGATCTCAGTCCCTCATTGGAAATGGGAGAAGAGGATGGGCCCACCCCAAGCCCAAGTACAGAAGTTCTGGAAAATTCATTCTGTCTGCTCCCAGGCCACCAGCATTTCACTCACTTGCAAGCCTTCCTCAAAAGTACTTAGGATAAATTAAATAATGCTGTGCTCTTTCAGGAGCCAGCATGTGGGAGACAGGATAGAGACAGGTTACAGAAGAGAATGGGATCAGACAGATACAGAGAAAGATAAAGACAGATAGGGGCAGACAGAGTCCCTCCTGTAATGTCTGTCACTCTCTATCTCTTCCATTCTTTCCTCTCTGTTTCAATTTCTTTTTTCTTTTTTTTTTTCCATCTTGTTTCCCTCACTGCCTTCTGTCTGTTGTAAGATAACAGAATCATTCCACTCAAGTTCAGAGGCATATGGGGGCTTGTAAGAAAAGCGGACTGTACTAGGAGCCAAGAAAGCAACACTTGAGCCCTAGCTCTGCCCCCTCTCCCTTGGGTGCAGCTGCGCTGGTCACGTGGGATGTCCGGGCCTCAGTTTCCTTTTCTGTAACAGGAGTGAGTCAGGTGAGATGATCTCTGGACCCCTGCCAGCTCTGCAGCATGACAATTTACAATCTGTGTCAATACGTTTATCTGTTACTTGGGGCAGATCTGTTCAACTTTCAATGTAAATGAGTTAACTGTCACGTCCCCAGGGTTTCCAGAGTGCATAATTCCCATTTCTCCCCGGCCCATCAGCGTCAGCGGGTGCTCCGGAAGTTCTCAAGCGACACCCACGTCCCCTGCATTGCCGGAGCACGCACGTGGGAGGCTGCCTGAACGTGGCACCTTCCGCATTTCTGAAAATCTGGTCTTCTGTTGGGCTTTCACATCCTTTGTTGTTCCTGTGGTTTGAAAAGATTACCATTACTATTATTCATCTCATTTGAGGGGCAGATTCTTATCTGAAAGTCCCCAGAGTCAGAAAATTCACTTCTAAACCTTTAAAGTATGGCAGCCTTTTGTCAATGATGTCATTGTTATTTCTTGGGGAGGGGGAAGAAGGGAAGAAAGAGTCTGTGGATTAAGGGGATAGAGCATGATGGAGGACAGGATGGTGACCCGTTATCGTTCTTTCATTTTTTCCTTTAAGTTGTTTGATTTATAAGTGTAATCACCAAGAAAGAATCAGATCCCCAAAAACCAAGCAGAAGGGAAAACAAAAAGGAGCCACCCAGCATTGCAGAGGAGAGGGCCTGTCCTCGACTCGGCAGGTGACTGTGGGGGAACACACTGGAAGGTGAACACAGGAGCCCCTCACTCGCAGAAAGTTTCCACTGGCTTCTGTTTCTGTTCTGGGTTCTGAGTCTGTAGAGAAAATGAAACCAGCTGGGATAGGACCCGAAGTTGTTTTGGAGCATTTGATAACAATGCAGAGAACAGGGTACACATGCTGGAGGTAGGTGCGTTTTGAGATGACTTCTTAGGGATGCGTGACCAATGCTTACAAAGGGTCTTCCTGGGCCTGGTATTGTCAGATTCATGGGTTGGTGCCCAGGGTCCCTTAGCCAGTCAGGGGCCCTTCCTTCACTGAGCTGGTCACAGTGAGGAACACGTAAGAGACAGAGCAGGCCTACAACTCATTGTCTTGAGTTGTCCCAAGAGCAGTTTAACAAAGATGGCAACCCCTTTAATTGCGTGAAGCACTCCCTTGAGTCTAGGTAACAAACTTGTCACTTGCCTTGGCTGGACTTTAACCTTGATCCTTGGACGCCAAGCTACATTTACACAAACAAGCAGCTAGCCAAGCTAAATATGCCAGCTGGGAAGCTAGTTTCCTAGAACGGGTACTTTGGAGAACTTCAAGTACGCTTGTGGGGGTCAGAGGTTGGTACAGTACGCGTGAGGGGAGAGAAATTCTGAGGAAGGGTGGGCGACCCTGTTTGAGGGTAGCTTTATTGTGTTTCTCTTATTTATTTTTCCAGGAGATAAGAGGGTTTTCTATGAGGTCTCCTAAGGTAGCCGGCCTTGCCGGTAGTGTTTCTAACGATCTCGAATCCTCATTCAGATGTAGGCTATCTTCACTCACGTAATCACTCATTTTTCCAATGGGTAGACTTGGAAATCTCTTGGTAAAAGGCACTGTCCTGATTTAGGTTCTTGCCCTTCTGCCTTTTCTACCTAACCTATTTAAGGAAGTGTTGGGTTGCTGTTTGTTGAATACTGATGCCTTAAATGTAAAAACAGATGGAAAGTCACTTTGACCAAAGGGATGCCACTGTCTGTCTCTGCTGCCGTGTCCCTGATCTGAGCACAGCCCTTCTGCTTTGCCTACCCTTGCCCCTGGCCGGTCTGCCTGCTTCCACTCTTGCCCTGTTCCAAGTCAGTCTCCTCATGGCAGCCAGAGAGATTGTCTGAATTGCAAATCAGACTGCGTCACCCTCTGTTATAAAATGCTTTAAGGGCTTCTTGTTACAATCAAAAAAAAAATCTTTTTAATATTATAAAAACCTATGAATCCATTGCCCGCAAGAACTGGAACAATAACAAGAACTAGGCGTGGAGCCCCATCCCACAACGCGTCCAACTCACTCTCCCAGGCCTCGTATTTAATTGTTCCTTGCTTTATTATTTTATAAGTGTATTTCTAAAAAGTGTCCTGTTAAATTTTAGTTAGCTTAAACATTGTAAAAAGTTTATCATCTCCTGTGTAATCTTCTGAGGTTGCTTTTTCCCTCCAATAACAGGTGGCTGAGATGCCGTGATCCCATCGCAGGTTGCCACAGTAGACTTGCTGGAACAACTTTGTAATAGTCCACTTTCCAAATATGCCTTCGTTTTTCTCTTCTCCAGTGGGTGGGGCTTTGGTTGCCTCCAGAGTTTTGCTAAGGGGACACTGCTGCTGAGAATGTCCTTGTACAACTTCCCACTGCTCTTTCTTTCTTTTTCTTTTTTATTTTTTTTAAAGATTATTTATTTATGTATTTGAGAGAGAGAGAGCACAAGCAGAGGGGCAGAAGGAGAGAAAGGAGCAGACTCCCAACTGAGCAGGGAGCCTGATACGGGGCTCGATCCCAGGACCCTGGGATCATGACCTGAGCCCAGGGCAGAGGCTTAACCAGTGGAGTCCCCCAGGCATCCCCTTCCCGCTGCTCTTAAAGACAAAAATCCTTCATGTGGCCTCTGGGTCTCTGCCTGGCCTGGCCCCACCCAGACCGCTCGCTCTTACCTCATATTCTGTGCCTCTGCTGCTCCATGCCAGGCAGAAGTTCAGGGAAGGGTAGAAGACAGAAGAAGGTACGTGCAAGAAAGTGAAATAGGTAGCCTTTCTCTTCCCCTTCTTGTCAACTTCACCCTTTCCTATAAACCCCCAATCAATCATTAATCTAACCTGGGCATATCTTGATATCGTGGAGCAAGAGGTCAGTTCACCTCTTTTGGTTGCTTACAGCTCCCCGTACCTCCTGCAGGGAGCACTTGGCCCGGTTATCAGGGAGAGCATGCTGCCCTGGCGTGACCCTGCGTTTGACACCTGCTCTGCTCCTGGACTCTGAGCTCTGAGAGCAGGACTGTCTGTTACTGTTCCCAGTCGTACCTCCAGCACCGGGACCAGGAGCTCCATATATATTCTCAAATGAATACAACAGTAATTCCCAGAGGTTTAGGATAGGCATCTGAGACCACAGAACAAGATCCAGTGTGCTTGTTCCTTAATCCTCTCGAGCAGGAGTTGGCAAACTTTTTTTGTGAAGGGGCAGAGAGTCAACATTTTAGACTTGGAGGACCCTACAGTCTTGGACATCACTTAATGTCGCTGCCATACCATCCAGGCAGCCATAATTAGTATGTAGATGAATGAATGTGACCGTGTTTCAACAAAACTTTATTTACAGACACAGAGACTTGAATTTCACATAATTTTAATTTTCGTGGGTCATGAAATGTGTTCACATGTTACAAGATACAATTCTTTTGCTTTTTTCCCAGCCGCTAAAAGCTACGTGAACCGTTCTTAGCTTGTGGGATGTATAAAAGCAGGTCGTGGGCCAGAACTGATCTGAAAAGGGGCGCCTGGGTGGCTCAGTGGGTTAAAGCCTCTGCCTTCAGCTCAGGTCATGATCCCAGGGTCTTGGGATCGAGCCCCACTGAGCTTTCTGCTCAGTGGGGGCCTATTTCTCCCTCTCTCTCTGCCTGCCTCTCTGCCTACTTGTGATCTCTCTCTGTCAGATAAATAAATAAAATCTTAAAAAAAAAAAAAAAAGGAACCGATCTGAAAGCCATGGCTGGCTGTCCTCTGCTCTAGAGTAGTCCTGAGCCCTGGCCAGTCCCGTGTCCTTGGGTCCAGGTCTACGCCTTAAGCACTATTTGTAAGCCACTAAGGATGGAGGACAACAAAAAGTCCAGAGTTAGTACCTACATTAAAGAATTAAAAGATGACCTTCCTCCTTTCTTCTTCTTTTTTATTTTTTTTAAACCTTTCTTGAAAAGTTGTCACATGGATCTCCCACCCCTTAGCTCATCCCTCACCATCTTCTTCCTCCTTTGATATGAAAATCAGAATTCAGGCACTTACCAGTGCCTATAGGCACCCAGATTGCATGACCAAGACACTACCCACCCACTCACCTTTGCTGTCGCTCTCCCCGCTGATTGATCTGGCGGAAGGGAGAGACTGACGACTGCAATTCACGGACACTTGGACGTTTCAAGGTCCTGGCCTGGCTGGAGAACCATGGTCCACCTACCTTCACGTGGGCACAGGCGTGGATCCGCCGACATTACCATGAAACCAGGAAAACAAAGCAAAACAAAACAAACAGAGGCTTCTGCTTTGCAATATTTGTTAATCTAAAGCCATGTTGACACACTTTTTAATCTGTCAGCAGACAAACCCTGGAAGGTAGCCCACACTATTGGTGCGTTAACTTGTTTTTGTTCAATGAAATGGAAATACTCATTTATTGGAGGGGATGTGTATCCGTACAGCTCTGAAAAGACAGTGGCCATGTTCTGTCCTGGTGAACACCATCAGGGACAGGAGGGAGGGAGGAATGGAGTGATGGGGAGAGAAGGCACGCTTGACCTCTCATGGCCTGACCCACAGAAGGTGGCAGTATCTTGTGTTGACATAACCATGTGGAAATTGCCAGCACCGTCCACCCCTGCAGGTGCAAGGGCACTTGAGAGATGATCCAATTTGCCCTCTGCACTGAGAAACCTAGCCAAGTCACTTTCTGGTCTCGACCTGAAAGCTGATGGTTCTCAGGCTCCAATTTACCTCTTCCGGTGGGCGGTCCCCAGATAGCTTTCGCTCCCTGAGCAGTTCTCCAGGGGAGGGTTAGCCCATTTCCTGGTGTAGTTCTTTGAGAGGGCACTGGGCCAAATGCTGTCTATACCTGACTCCAGGTATCAGGACACCTCCCAAGCCAGCCTTTTCTTGTCCCAAATAATTCTCTATCTATCCATCTATCGAGCTTTTGAAAGCAGGAATCAGATCCTATCACGCAGTTGCTTAAAAGCCTCTGAAGCATTTCATAAAACAAAATAAAATCCAAATTTCTTTCTTTCTTTCTTTTTAAAGATTTTATTCATTTATTTGACAGACAGAGATCACAAGTAGGCAGAGAGACAGGCAGAGAAAGAGAGATGGGGGGAAGCAGGGTCCCCGCTGAGCAGAGAGCCCGACATGGGGCTCGATCCCAGGATCCTGAGATCATGACCTGAGCCGAAGGCAGAGGCTTTAACCCATGGAGCCACCCAGGCGCCCCAAAATCCAAATTTCTTAACCCGCGTTATGGGTTGAACAGTCTCCTCCCCACGTGGGGTTGGCGCCCCGAGCCTAGCTGTGAAGGCCAATTTATGTGGAAACAGCATCTTTGCAAGTGATCAAGATGAGGTCAGTAGGGTGGGCCATAGCCCAGAGGACTAGTGTCCTTATAAAAAGGGAAATACGGATCAGAGACAGATAGGCATGGTGGGAAGAGGACATGAAAACTTCGAGTATGTCATTGACAAGCCAAAGAATGCCTGAGGCCACCAGAAGCAGGAGAAAGGCCTGGAACAGTTTCTTCCTCATGGTTCCCAGAGGGAACTGACCCTGCCAACCCCTCGATTTGGGATTCGCAGCCTCTAGAACTGTGAAGGCATCAATTTCTGTACTTTAAACAGGAAACTAATATACTTGATTGCAAAGCCCCTTGAATATTCTCACTGCTGACCTGCTGGTCTTTAATACTTCTCAGCTGGGGCAACTCTGGGGAGGGTGCAGGGGAGGGGGATGATTTTGGTGGTTAGAACCAGGTGCTTTATTGGTGTTTATCAAGAGGACAGGCCAGGGATAGTAGAAATCCCTAAATGCACGGAAGGATCCCCCACAATCTTGCCACTCGTGGCCCCACTGAGAATTACTGCACCAGAATGGCCTTCATTCAATTCTGTAAACCTTCCCCTTTTCCCAATAGCCTGGAGCCTTTGCATGAGATGTTCTCTCTGCCTGGAACACTACCTACTGCTCTTCGTGCAGTTTAGATCTTAACTTAGATGTGATCTTCTCAGACAGGCTTTTCAGGTTGCAAAATATCCACTTGCTCACTCAATTTCACATCGGTCTTTAAACAATACTCTTCTATAGATAGCGTTATCACCATTTGATTAAAAAAAAATCCTATGAGGGGCAGCTGGGTGGCTCAGTTGGTTAAGGGTCTGCCTTCAGCTCAGGTCATGATCTCAGGGTCCTGGGTCGGAGCCCCCCATCGGGCTGCCTGCTCAGCGGGGAGTCTGCTTCTCCTTCTCCTTTTGCGCGTCACCCTGCTCATGGTCGTTCTTTTTCAAATAAAAAAATACAATAAAAATCTGTAACAAACCTATGAGATTATTTTTTGTCTCCTCCCACTAGAATATAAGCTCTGTGAGACTAAGGACTGTTTGCACACCAGGATTGCAAACCCTGGCAGGTAGATGGGGCTCACATTTCAATGTTGGCTGAATGAACCAGTCATGAGCCCCGAAGCTGGAAATCTGTGAAAGCCTGGGGGTCTGGGAGAGAGGAAGGAAGAAATGGGAAGGGATAGGGCAGGAAGTGGGTGGGGCCGGTGAAGCGTGGTGGGAGAGGTGAGAAGGCACTGGTAAGGCAGGGCATTTAACAGCAGTGGGACTTTTTTCCAGACTGTTCTCGGACCATGAAACAAGAGTGGACAATTTCCTAGAAGAGCCATGACTGGAGCAGCCATTCTTCTTCTTCTTTATACAGGAAGAAATAAGCTTGTGGAGTTCATTACCCCTGGAATGGTGGAGCTTGGAAAACAGAACTAGTTCCTCTAGGGTTTCAGAGGAGCTTATGGATGGTGCTTGACATGTTGCCTTTTCATGGGTTATAAGGATAATTGGGACCTACGCGGGGAAAACCCAACTTGAACGTTGACATTGAGAAGGACAAGCCCACCGTGCATGGAATGCCCTTTCATGCCTCTGTGAGAGCCAGAACTGGACTGAATGGGACATAGACTTCCCCAGTACAGCTATCCTTGCTTGCTCTGTGGAGGCTACCTTGTCCTTGGAAAGATACACAATATTCCACAAGCTTCCACAAGGACCTTGGAACGGAGTCATTTCAAAGGACATCCAATCACGAAAACACTGCTATGTTTTTAAGCCATGTGCAGCCTTTATTTTCCTCTTAGAAGTCCTCTGTTTTACTTAGTTTGTTTTATATAAAGTTTCTTTTTTTCGTCTTGTGGCACACTCGGAACTTTGGAGGTGAGAGACAGTGTTCTCCACGGGGCGAGAGGTGGCCTGCCTTGTAACTCTATCTCTGCTGCTAATTTGCTGAGTGACCTCTAGTGTTTTACTTGACCTTGGAAGGGCCTCGATTATTCTACAGAAAATTTGACGGAATACATTACATCACAGGGGACTGGTGATCGGTGAAAGAATGCAATAAAATATGGGAAAGCACACGGAAGGAACTTTCTGTCTTGCTTTCCTGTTCCTTCGTTTTGTTATTTCAACTCTTGCCTGGAACCCTTCCCGCCCAGGTGGCCCCTCACCTTTCTCTTCACCTTTCCCTCACACAGACTTCCTGGACTTCAGGCAATCACATCCCACATTCGCAATCTGTGGAATATTTGAGTGCCGATTGCACTCTTACTTGCTTAATATTGTCTTTACATTGGTTGGCTCACGTCTCAATTTACATTGGTTCCCTCAAAAAGGGAACAATTTACATTGGTTCCCTCGAAATGGGAACAATTTACATTGATTCCCATAAAATGGGCAGCTGTTTATATAGAATGACA